AACATGGGAAAAGCTGCAGAGTAAGAAATTCTACTTTGTCTAAAAATATGTATGCCATTCAGCAATGGCAAAGAATGAACTGGACTTACCTAATTATATAAAACCTGAACAGTAATGCTCAGGGTTCCACTAAACGCAGGTTAATATTTCTGAAGTATCAGGTACTTGTATGATGCCAGAGTAAGAGTAAAAGCCAAATCGTGTGTGCTTCAGATATTCTTTAATACAAATATTATAGAATGGAAGGCTTAAAGACTTATTATCCTTTTGAAATTAAGTTTCAAAAAAAACGATTATACAAAAAAAAAAAAAAGTATGCGAACCTTAGGAAGGTTCTGACTCATTAAATATTAAGAAAGCAGCTGGTTAACTCAGTCTGGCAAAACCGAGATAATGGAGTTTGGTGAAAGCTCACGAGCAGGTACCTGGGTATTTTGGCCTCATCGCCCTCAATCTGCCAGTCCGTCGTCTACATTTTCGCACCTCCAGAGACAGGAGCTTCCTCTCGTAAAGAGCAGCATGCAGCTTGGCCTTGGAATTCATACTCTCTACCTTCAATTCTGGTGCTCCATCAGCAGTCATTCTAGGGGAAAAACAATAAGGTAGCCACAGCCTTTGGAAAGTTCTCTCCTTTATTCCAAGGGTAAGCTTGACAGAATTCTGTATTTATGAAGGACTGGGGATGGTAACTCTAGTGAATTCTCAAAGGCATGATAGATAAAGGGGAATATTGGAATCTACATTAAAACCTCACTAATGGCCTATCTGAATTTGTTAAATGTTCTGAAAAAAGTACATATCTGAAGACAATGTTTAAGTACCTTTTAGTATTCAGTGATACTATTACTTTACTGTAGGAATTATAAAGTGCCACCAAATACTTTATATGTTAAAAAGGACAACATTTTAATTCTTAAGCTAAGTGGTGGCAAAAGGTGTTTGTTTTATTGCTATTCATTATGACTTACTCAGCATTACATAAATCATTCCTTTGAATGTATACAAAATCTAATAGATATAGATTTAGCAGAGGTTGAGATGAAGAGGAAAATGGCTGATAACCTGTGAATGTGGCAGGTAGCACCAAGCTAACTGAGACTCATAGGGAACGTGTCTTAGTGAAAAGGTACGAAGACCCAGAGACTTAATACATCTCAAGCATCCTCATGTGAGGAACTGGCAAGGCTTCCACCCCACTGGCTATAGGAGGCGGTAGGGAGAGGTGGCAGGGACTCTCCAGGTGTTGGGTACAGGTCAGAAGTTAGAGTCAGAGGCACAGACAAGGGAAGACAGCAGATATAGGAAAAGGCCAAATTTAATCAGGCCGTGAGTGAGAAATGGGATGGGGAAAAGGGACTAACAGCAGCTACATTAGGCATTAGTTAAAGTAAAACAAATCCTAAATTAGGGATGTGACAGATATCAGGCCCAGTCCAAACAAGGACTAGGCAGTGCAGGGCAAGCAGACATAACCAAATCACCAAAAAGAGAGAGGGCTCTGAGTCATGAGGTCAGAAAAGATGTATCCCCATCAGTGTCTGAAAGCATGCAGCCAACTCTATACTCAGAACTCTCTGGCTGGCTCTGAACTCTCTCGCTGGAACTCCAAAGTGTGTTCCCTCTGACGTCAAGGAATCATCCTAACACCTCTGAGTATGATAGAAACGTTGTGTCGTTTGGTCTATTTAGGACTTTCTGACAGGGATTTCTGGGTGGACGGAATGGATAGTAAATCTTCTGGAGGTCTTCTCTCCAGAGCAGGGCACTGAGCCAAGAACATGAAGGTCTTGACACTGGGAGCAGAAATGGGAAGCTAATTAATGAACTTTCAAAAATAGTTCAAACCTATCTAATCATAATCCCAGAGACTAACCCCTCCCAACACACAGCTATGAAAATATTTAACCAATTAAATAATAAAGAAAATACAACAAATCTGATAGAAAAATAGAATCATTTAAACCATTTATTTAATAATATCTGGCCAACTCGGTTAAATTTGATAATTGTATAGGCAAACACAGGCATAGCTTAACATTGACATCTCTGTCCTATAAACACACAAATTTTCCTCTAAGGACATGTCTTTTAAAAACTTAATGTGATTTCAGAAAGCTTAATGTTTTGGGTCATTGAGTGGAAGTTAACTGGATACCTTAATAAATTAAAGCCCAGCGTTTATGCTCATAAACAAGTGTGTTTCTGCCTACATTGTCAAGAATTTTATTCTACAGGAAAAACAAGAGGTCTCTTTTGGGAAAATTATCAATAAAAACTCAATAAAAAGCTTCTGAAAGCATGAATCCTAAAAGCTCAGAGATATGGAGAAGCTATTTCTCTAGAGATATTTTTAAATAACTGTGAACTAAGATACTTCATAGTTTACCTTTTTTGGATAAACAAATAAATCCTAAATAGTGTAAGAAATGGAGGATAGGGAATTCTGGGCAAAGTGTGAATCTGATCAACAAGAATTACAAGTTCTATGAGGGCAAGGACCATGTTTGTCTTGTTGATCTCTGTATCTGTGACACTTCTGAGACTTCCCAGCATGTAGCTGTTTACAGATATAGGTTAATTAATAAGCAATTGAATTTCCTACAAACAAGTTGTAATATCTTTTAACTACATATATTTCATTCTATTTTTCCAACATTTTACTATGAAAATATTAATATTTAAAACAGAAAAGTTTAAAGAATTGTACAGTGAACATCCATATTCTTACCTACCACCTAGTTTCTATAATTAACATTTTACTGTATTCGTTTCATCGCCTACATATCCAACCATACATTCCTCTACCCATCCA